AAAAAATTTTAAAGAACAAGTTATAGCCAATAAATAGAAGAAATAGTAAAAGGCAAAAATCAATAACATAAAAAGATAAGTGAAAGCTTTTATCATTAAAAGGATTTTTTTACTTAATTCTAAAACCCTACCAAAACTGATTAAGAAAAAATGAGGGAAAAGATAAATTATCTATATCAGAATGAAATAGAGCATAAAACCACATCTCTGAAAACATTAAAAGGGCAGTAAAAGAAGTGTATCCACATTCTAATGCCACTAAATTTGATAGCTTAGGTAAAAAATCTTGCACAGATGACTTATAAACTGATCCAAGATATAAAAAAATCTCAGCTACCCTATACCTATTGAGGAACAGAATTTATAAGTAAAAATCACGCTAAGAGGAAATGTCTTTCTCAGATACTTTCAGACGTGTATTCTGTCACTTAAGAAAGGTATAACAATTGTCAGAATTTTCCAGAAAACACAGTAGGGAATGTTTTCCAATTCATTTACCACGGCTAGCAGAAATCTGATATCAAAGTCTAACAGACATTACAAGTACAAATTCAGGGCCCGTACAAAAGATTTTAAAGTATATTTTATTGTATTTTTTTACACAAAATACAAACAGGTATTAAACGTCATATTAATTAAATATTATTAAAATTATTAAATGATATTAAATTCATATTAATATTAATTCTGACTGATCGACACATGTACATTTCAAAAGGAATACACCAGTAGCGCTATTGTTTAGCTGCTAACCAAAAGGTTGGTGATTTAAATCCACCAGTTACTTTGTGAGAGAAAGATGTGTTGTGTGTCAATCTGCTGCCATACAGATTTACAGCCAATGAAACCTTATAGTTCTGTCTTACAGGGTCCCTATGAGTTGGCATCAACTAGATGGCATTGAGTTTAGTGATGTTTGACAGTTTTCAAAACAAACTTTGATACAAAATTCACTACTTTCAAACATAAAAGAATTAGATGGATAAATGGAATGAATAAATAAGGCAATGAAAGATTGAAAGCTATAGGATAAAATATTGATGGCAGAATCTTGGTGCTCAGTGTACAATGTTAACTGTACATTTTCTTCAATTTGAAGGTATATGTTTGAAACCTTTCATAATAACATGATAGAAGGGTCTATTCACGTCATAAACTGAAGTAGCATTTATTTTTGGTTAGCTATAGGCATTTTCTCCAGCAATAGATTCACAGGAAACATTCTAAGTATGAACTTACTGTCATTATAAATAGTTGGACTGCAAGAAATGGGTATCTTTTTAAGTTAGGTAAGTGAGTCAAGTATGTTATTTAAACACCTAAAAATAAAATCACGCCTATGTGTTTATACCAACCTTACAGGCTACATTACTGGATAATATGTTTGCTTCCAAACAATTCCTTTGAGATAATAATGTTTTAATACGTCTTTGAAGTTTTGCTACTTTTGCCTAGAAGAGAGAAAAACAAGTAAATACTACACTTGAGTAGTACGGTATGTATATATCAAATAGAGGTAAACAGAGAGTGTTATTTTCAAAACAGTTTTGTGAGACTTACACATCTACCCAGAGAAATGAGAAATCTTATATAAGCTCATCAAAATATTTAAATAAAGTTTGATGCTAGTAAAATGCCCAAGAATGAAGGTAAAAAATGTCAAACTCCTACAGGGTCCATAGTGAGTTGGCAGACACATCAATCAGCAACCACTGAAAAGTTGCATAAGTAACCACAGGAAAGTCAGAACACAATAACCCAACCCTGAAACAGGCTGTACAAGCTCCTCAGTGTGTGCACTCCCACCGCTCCTGCACAAGAAACGCTGCTGAGATACAGTAAATTCGGTGGTACAGCCTGACTTCTGACATTGGTCAGGAATCAGATTTATGCTGCCCGGTTTTTCTTTCTTAATAATACATAAAATCCTGCTTTTCCAAAGGACTCAAACCAGATCAAATAAAAAACTTACAAAGAGTTCATTAGCTATTGCTTCATGTTTACTCCTGCACTGTGTCTTCTCAATGCGTTCATTCAATTCTTTCAGTTTGTTATCAAATATATTGTAATTTACACTATCAATTTCCTGCCGAATCAAATGGTGGACCTAGAATTTAAAAATAAAGAAAATCTCATGTTTCATATTTAAAAGTAATTTTATTTTGTACTTCAAAAATATAATTTTACTTTTGTCTGAATTTATTATTGTCTAAAGAATGTCATTTATATATTATCATTTATACTTAAATTATCATACCAGTAGTTCTTTAAAATTTACACATCAAACTCAGCAAAACATATGTAGCATTTTAAACTATTAGATATTGGAGATTACATTTATTCTCACAATTTTGGATTCTTACAGTTCCATATTGTAACTGGAACTAGGCATTCTCTATAAAAGCTCCACAGTTATCTAAAATTTAGAGCCCAATGAGGACTGCAAATTGGTCTATAGGAGAGAAATGAAAGATTCCACAAGTTTGAGCCTTGACTCCATCACTAATAATCTATATGCCCTTTGGGAAGTCACAAAGGAGAATTAACGCATTTGCGTTCTAGTACTGGTCAAGAATACTGACAGCATTGTGAGCTGCCAGAAGAATACACTAGTTTGTCTTAAAAGGAGTACAGTTAGCATGCTTCTTAAAAGCTAAGATGGTAACAATTCATCTTTACGTACTTTGGTCATGGTAGTAGGAGAGACTATTTCTTGGCTGATAACCACACAGGGCAATAGTCCAAACCCACCAGTGTGGCGGGAGGTCAGCCCCTCTACAGGGGTGGCCCTGCTCCCTGCTGCTGGGGAGAATGGACAGGCTCCTGTAAGTGGAGTTCACACCCTATTGATAATGGTCTCTATCAGTTGAGCCAGGAACAGGTCAAGCCCGGCTCTGTGACATCCAAAATTAAGCTGCCATCCTAAATCTAGGATCCGCCCATCTTGTCACATGTATGCTCCAATCCCTCCTCTTCCTATTGCATGTATGTCCCTAGACCACCCCCTCTCATAGCTGTATAACCTTTAGTGCAACCCCCTCCTGTGACGCATGTCTACCTGTAATTAGTGGGCTTGCATGCCCCTAAAAGGGATATAGGCCTGGGTTAACAAGAGAGATCTCTCTCACCCCCTGTCTCTCACCAGTCTCTCGCTGCTCTCTCCTCTCCCCTTCTCCTCTCCCTTGTTCCCTTTCCCGTCCTCCTTCCCTTCTCTCTCTCTTTCCACGTGGACCACCAAGCAGGGCTGAGGTGAGCATGCTACCATGTAATGTGTCTGACTGCATTATTGTAATATCTCTTCTATCACTCCTGTTCTCGATGACTTTAATATAATACTTATGTATCGCAACCGTACAATTGTGCTTACTGAACCCGTGGGTAGTGGAGGGGAGCTGGCTCTTCCCCAACTTAATACTACACACCAGCAGCTCAATATTGATGGATCTGCCCGTTTTCTTTCTAGCCCAGTACTCTACCTACATGAGTTTCTAGGTTACTCTGTATTGAATCATTAAAAAAACAAAACACACACACACACACACACACAAATCAGAGATGTTTTGGTAAATAATGATCTTTCCCTAAGTAATCCGTCTGCCAATTTGATTCTCAGATCTAGTCTTTATTATCAATTAATGAAGGTCTAAGTGGTTACCTTTGGGGCCACTAACCTCAAGGTCAGCAGTTTGATACCACTAGCTGCTCCGTGGGAGAAAGATAAAGAGCTTCTACTTTAGGAAAGAGTTAGTCTGGAAAACCCACAGGGGCAGTTCTAGCTTGTCCTACAGGCTCACGATGAGTTGGATCCACCTTGCTGGCAGTGAGTTTGGTTTTACACTAAGTCAGTGTGGAAATCAATGAACTTTGATCTAATTTTTTTTTAATCCAAAGGAAAAGCTTCTAAAGCAAAAAATATTTAAGCTCTAAGATTTTACCTGTTCTAGCAATGCTCTTTGCTTTTCCACAGCTACACTAACAGTTCCATTATTTTGCACCGACATCTTCACACGCTTAACATTTTCTTTGTTTTCTGAAAACATCCTCTTCTTTAGATTATGGCCTTGAAGAAATGAAAAGATCAGAGATTTTTTTTAAAGCCTTCTCAAGAAGAAAAAGAAAATTTCTCATTTCAGAACTCCAGGCAAATGGAAAAAATTAAAATTGAAAATGACACTAACAAAAATCTAAATTGCAGCCTTTAATCTATTTACAGCTCCTTTAGTTGTCCTACATTATACTTACAATTGTTGTTTAGGTACTCCTACATATTTTTCATAGACAGTCATTATTTTCATGCAATTTTAAATTCATTTTGTTAAACATTCTGTAGTCTTGATATACAGAATTTAACCTATGAAATTTGTTTTTAAAACATATTTTACTAATCAACAAAAATATCCTAATTCTAATAAAATCTATTTTTGTTGTATCTTAAAACACCTAAGCTTCATTTGGTAAATATGTGCTGCCTCCCCCTCTACATACACACACAGACAAGTGCACACAAAGTTCTTAATGTGTGTATTGCTGGCAGGTCATTTATAAGTCAATTCTACTGAAATAAGGCTAGTTGAGAGAATGACTTCTCAAAATTTTTTGTATGCATGCATGCCTGCATACATGCATAGTCTACCTACAAATTTAAAATACCCAAGAAAAAAATGTCTATTTTAACTTACCAAAACATACAAATAAGTATACACTTACCATTACTGCTATCAATGTCAAGGAATGGATGGCATGTTGAGTCTGTACTTCCACAACCTGAAATGCTGGAATGACAAGGTGCACTGCATTCATCAGTTTTCAAACCATCAGCAGCATACTTGATAGAATTGACTGAATTCATCAAGTGAGGTGTTCGCTCAACAGGTACAAACCAGGAGTCTGAATTGAGATTGTTATTTTGTTTCCCATCCAGGAACTCCAACTGGGAGTTTGTTTCTAAGTAAGAAACCATCTTGTCTTGTCCCTGACCATTCAAAGTGCTCATTATTTTATACTTTGGTTCTTGAACTGCACCTCTCAACACATTAGGTGAACAGCAAAGACATTTTAGATGGCAATCTCCTTCATGTCGCTCAACAGTGGATCTTATAATATTTGCCTGACTTCCAAAATGATTTACAGACGTGTTCTGTGAATTTTTTGCCTCTTCTATGATTAGCTTCTTCAGAGAATAAATTGTTTTACCTGACTTCTGGTAAGGGCTCACTACTCCATCAACATGTTCCAATCTTGTTTCTGAAACAACATTTTTTTGTACAGATTCTAGTAAGTTCAGAGGGAATCCATTACTTTTCTGTGAGCATACTAAATATTTGCTAGAGTCCAATGATGAAGCATCATTTTCAGAATGTCCACATTTGTTTTGTTTGACAGCAGGACCTAAATTCTGAATACCACTTGGCACATTATTCCCAACAGTTGCTGTTTCCAGTGGTTCCACAATCTTTAACTTATTCATGAGTACTACTTGCTTCCGGTAACTTGGCGGCATTGTTTTTTTGGCTTTTAATATTTTTCGGTTACGTTCATCTGGACTTGCCATCTTTCATATCCTACAATTTAAGATATAATATTTAATTATATTTCCCAGTCAATAAATGTTTAACTACTTACCATATTAAAATAATGTCTTGAGATTTAGATAATTATTTTTATTACAAAGAAATCAACATAAATTTCCATCTGTCAGTGAAGATATAAAATTTTATATAAATCTACAACTTTACAAATTTAAAATTTATACTAGTAAGTCTTACCTAAACACTGAGGCTAAGGATTTAGCTGTCCACTTTTGTTATAGTACCCCGTCATTAGGAAAACTCACTTTTAATTGCCCAAATCATAGTTTAGAAAATCCAAAGATTAAACTATTTTTCTACATTAAAAAACAAAAATTCCATGTAGAACATTCCATTTTCAACAAGTAGTGGTGTCTTTTAATGGATACAAGACAGGATACCTGTTCAAATAAAAAGTTAATTTAATTTGGATTGCACAATACATTCTGAATACTCTTTAATAATAACCCAAGAGGAAAGCGAATTTTGAGAATGATGAGGGCAACAAATGTATGTGTGCTTTACACAATTGATCTATGTATTGTGATGAATTGTATGAGCCCCAATAAAATGATTAAAAATAATAATAAAAGAGAGCTTTAACAAGTTAAAAAAAAAATTAAAACAGCACACCCACCCCTCTCTGACCTAACCTATGAGAGAAAAAAATCTTTAATAGTATTAATTTTATTTTTTTTATTTTTTTTTTTTTTTTAACATTTTATTAGGGGCTCATACAACTGTTATCCAAATCCATACACTCATCAATTGTGTAAAGCGCATTTGTACATCGTTTCTCAAAACATTTTCTCTCCATTTAAACCCCCGACATTAGGTCCTCATTTTTCCCCTCCCTTCCCCCTCCCCCTTCCCGCATGAGCCCTTGATAGTTTATAAATGGGTATTTTGTCATATCTTGCCCTGTCCGACGTCTCCCTTCATCCACTTTTCGGTTGTCTGTCCCCCAGGGAGGAGGTCACACACAGTTCCATGTAATCGGTTCCCTCTTTCCTACCCATCCTCCCTTTACCCTCCCTGTTTTGCCACTCACACCACTGGTCCTATAGGGCTCATCCGTCTTGGATTCCCTGTATTTTCAGTTCCTATCTGTACCAGTGTACCTCCTCTGGTCTAGCCAGTCTTGCAAGATCGAATTCAAGTCATGGTAGTGGGAGTGGGGAGGAAACCTTTAGGAACTAGAGGAAGATTTAATAGTATTATTTTAAAAAACGACTAGCAGAGAGAAAAATTACTTGAGCATATAACCTTAAGACTATCACCACGAGTGCACCTGCTCACAGAAGCTATGCAGAGTCTGGCATGGTTAATACTTGCATAAGAGACCACCTGGGAACACTAGGGCCTTTAAGCAGCCCTGGTGGTCCTTAGTGGTGTGGCAGTTAAACTTTACATCAACTTGAATTTATATGAAAATGTAGGGCTGGGGTCCAACCTGTCAATCAAATCATAGCCTGATGGTTTCCTCCTTGGAGTGTAGCCTTTTTATAAGGGAGAAACTAAACTGGGAACATCTCCCTCTCTCTCTGTCCCTTTGCCTGACTCCAGGGATGGCCCGATGTGGGCCTCTGACCCGGAGAGCTCTCAGTGCCCTGCCGTATTTTGACTGATGTTGGATCCTTTGCTCTGAGCTTTCTGCAACCCGCTTCCCCTTTCTGTGTCATTGACCTGCAGCTGTATGAGCCTGAAGATGGATCTGGCTAGCATAGAACCTATGGACTTAAGTCAGACAGGGCTAGGATGCTTTCTTGATATGAACTTGCTTCTTGATATAAAGTTCCTTCTTATAATTATGAGTGTCACAGATTTTTTTTCTCTAAACAACCCAGCCTAGCACAAGTGGTTTACATGTTTGGCTGCTAACTTAAGGTAAGGTGACCAGACATTCGGCTTTTGGCGGGACAGTCCCGATTTTTGGCGTTTTTAAAAAGTCCTGATTTTTGGAAAGAATGCATGACACGCTAGGGAATGGTCTAATTGGTCCATATAGACCAAATTTTTAATCAAGAACCCCCACCCCCACCCACCCCCGGTCAATGGTGTCCTGCTTGAAATCTGATCACCTTAGCTTAAGGACAACAGTAAATCCACATTACTAAGCAGCCAAAAGAAGCAGAACTTTGAGATTGCCGAGGAGAGGATAAGGGGGAGCAGAGAAAGCAATGGGCTAGACTGTTGACAGTTGTTAAATTGGGTGAAATGGACGTTAGTAGTCAATGAGGGAGAAGCAAAATCAAGAAGCAGATGAAGAGTCAACTACGGGGAGTCTAATTACTAATTTAAACCATGGAATACAATATTGATTCTCTGAAATATAAACTCTCACCTAATTCACAATTTTAAAATGTTATCTACAAAAATAATGCAGACCAATGAAATGATGAAGAAAAGCTGAAGGGAATTGAAAGGGCAATTCAAGGGCAAAGTAAAATATTATTTAAAAATGTGCAAAGACCTGGAGTTTGAAAACAAAATAGGAAGACTACACTGAACTGAAAGAACTCAAGAAAATATTCAAGGCTTGAGTTGAAATATTGATCCACATAGATGAACAAATAATCCAAGGAACTGGACTATATGAAGAACATGCAATGAAAATTAGAGGACGACTTATGGAGATGACACCACCTTGCTTGCTGAAAGTCACTAGGATTAAAAGCACTTACTGATGATGATAAAGAAATCCAAAATGGATTAAAACCCATCATTTAAAAACAAACAAAAACTTCACAACTAGATCAACAGACATCATAATGGAGAAAAGATTGAAGTTGTCAAGGGTTTCATCTTGCTTAGACCCACAATGCTCATGGAAGCAGCAGTCAAGACACCAAATGACATATTGCATTGGGCCAATCTGCTGCCAGGACCTCTTCAAAGTGCTGAAAAGCGAAGCTATCACTTTAAGGACTAAGGCACACCAGGCCCAAGCCATGATATTTCCTGTCGCTTCATATGCATGTTAAAGTTGGGCACTGGATAAGGAAAACCAAAGAATTGATGCCTTTTAATTAAGGTGCTGGCAAAGAATATTGAATATATCATGGACTGCCAGAAGAACAAGCAAATCCGCATCGTAAGAAGTTCAGCCGGAGTATTTCTTGGAAGTGACGATGACGAGACCTCTCTCACATGCTGTGGTAGTTACACAATTCATGTCAACTTGATAAAAGAATGACAGGTAGAGTGTAGCCTGTCTATCAGCTCACAGCTTGATTGTGCCTCCTGGTGGGTGTGACCTTCTCATGTAGATTCTGGGATACACTCTCTCTCTGCTTGACCTTCCTGTTGACAGGACACATGGGGCCACTCTAATGGTAGCCAGAGCCCTGGACATGCGTCCACTGCCATTGGATCCACAGGCCTTTCCACCCATCAGACTGTGATCTTATCACATTCGACATCATTATATGTGCTGTGTGAGTCTGAAGAGAAATTCATGGGGTGATATCAAACTTATGGAATTGATCAGGACCGGACTGGGATGTTTTATTGATGCATAAATACTTCTTGATATAAAGTTCTCTCTTACACATGAGTGTCTGGATTTGTTTCTCTAGTCAACCCGGACTAACACACATACTTTAGGCATGTTATCAAGAGAGACCAGTTCTTGGAAAAGGACATCATGCTTGATAAAGTAAGTTAACAAAAAAAGATGGAGACCTTCAACAAGATGGAGTGATACAATGGTTGCAACAGTGGATTCGAACATAGCAAATGTCAGGATGGTGCAACACCAGTAAGTGCTTCATTCTGCTGTACATCGGGAGCACTGTTGAGTCAGAACCAACTTGACAGTATCTGTCCTGATGGCACAGTGGGTTTGCTGTTGGCCTGCTAACCACAAGGTCAGTGGTTTAAACTCACTGGTCTTCTACAGGAGTAGCTGTAAAGACTTAGTTTTAGAACTCACTACGATGACAATGAGGTTTCGGATCATCCACACCACCAAGAAGCCTGGTGGTGCTGTTGGCTATGCATTGGGCTGCTAACCACAAGTTAGCAGTGGTTCAAACCCACCAGTAGTCCTTCAGTAGAGAGATGAAATTAGACTCACTGGCAATGGAGGCATTTTTGTTATCCACATCACCATATGGTTGCTATGGAGTCAACTTGATGTTATTGGGCTGGCTTTTTTTCCCCTTCTTTCTTTTGCTATTTCCATCATATTTGATCTGAACTATAAGTAGAAACTGATTTAAAAGAAAAGAACACTAGAAAGTATAGGACACTCAAAGGACACTAAACTAAATATAAGCAAACAAATTATATGACAATGAACTATGTATTTCTTATAGATAACAACTCGTGTTTTTTTTTAACCCAGATGTTTTATTCTAGTCCCACATCCTCTATACCACATATCCATTTAGCCTATGTCTACCCATGCATGCTATAGAGGTCACAATTGCACAATTGTGTACACAAGTAGTAGTATTTACTTGTATTATCTTTAACTCTTGCACTCATTGTCTTCCTCCTACCTCCATCATTTTTTCCTGATATACCTCTTATTAGATATTGTCTCCCTCTTTACCCAAGTTAACAGAGTATTTCTTAACTTCAATATCAAAATAGAATCTGGGAGCGTTTAAGTAATAAACAAGCAAATAAATACAACAAAAGCTGCATGAATAGTGTTATTACTTTTCTTTTTTTAATGGTTAATTGGGTGGCTGATTACAGAGCAGATCAACAATTCGTACATATCTCGTTTCATGTCATTGATCGCCATGCAAACCATGTACCATCACAGATGGTCATGGTACCACTTCCTGTCTTCCTGTCTCCCTTCCTCCTTTTTTCCTAACCCTTCTTGATTTTGCCTTTGGGTAATGCTGCTCATTTAATGTCAAGTGGTTGAGTATTCTTGGGTGTTGACACCTCTCTAGTATTACTGTTCCCCTTATAAACCAATCTATTGTTTGGCTAAAAATAATTTATTTCCAGACCTAAAAGGTGAATAAAT